ATATATATATATATGCCTAACATTCAGAGTTCAACCCCCAGGACCCACATGGTGGAAGGAGGGAACCAACTCCTGAAACTCCTGAAAGTTGTCCTCAGACCGCCATATGCACATGGTAGAATACTTGGACCCACACACACATAAAATAAATGAATAAAAATGTGATTTTAGAAAAATTCCTGGGTTATCTAGCCATTTAATTCCTATAAAAATGATACAGGCAAATACAGTTTTTTTCTTTTTTTAGTTGAGCTTTTAAAATTTCATACAACATATCCTACTCAAATCCAGACCCCCTTCCCCATCCATACCTCCCCCTGTCCCCCCACCGAACCCTATGTACCCTGCTGTACATGTTGAGACCTGTTCATTCAGGTGTTTGTACCCAAATGTCCTGCAGTGTAAATGCATCCACTGGAGTCTAGTCAGCCTATCCAGTGGTTGTATATAAGTCATACTCTCCCTCACCCAGCAACAAATCGGTCTTATTAAATAGTTCTTAATCTGGTGCTGACCTGCCACCCATTTCTTATCTCTCTTTCGGGCCCTTGTTTAATTGAGCTGACATGGGTCCTGCGCTTGACACAACCGCTGCGCAGGCTCGCATGAGTAAGCCTCTAGTGGCCTGGAAGCCTCCACTTCCTTATGTTTGTGAACCAGTCCTGGCTCATACAATCTTTCCACCCCCTCTTCTACAATGGTCCCTGAGCCATGGGTGGTTGAGGTTTCATATAGGAGTCCCATCCTACACGCTGCAATCTCTTATGCTCCAAAACTAGGCCATTTGTGGCCTTCTGTGTGTACATGGAAGCCTCACTGGTGAGAGCTGAGGGGTGCATTAGCCCTCTCTCTACCCTTATTCTACTATGTTCCATGAGCCTTGGTTGTAGAGATTCAACTGCAAATGTGTCACCTAGTACTGGGCATCTCCCAGGTGTATGTTCTTTATCCCTGACCAGATGTGCAAATCCATTGATTTGAACCCAGGTCTTCTGCAAGAACAACCAGTGTTCTTAACTACTGAGCCATCTCTCCAGCCCATTCTTAAATTCTTTTATGAATGTGATTGAGTGAGACTTGAGGCAGGACCCCATTCTCCCCATCACCACGACTCCTATTCCAAAACCCATGTATGTTCAAATATATTAAGTGTGAGATATTTGGGGATGAAGTTGATGGAATGAATGGAGTAAATGGGATGATGACTAGTCATCGTCTAGAGCAGTTACCAAAGTGACCCTCCAGAGTGGAGGCTGGAAATGTTGGTGACATGAGTCTCTCTCCCTCTGCTCTGTGCTGTGCAGGGTGATGTTGGGCTCGCTATGGGAAAACTGTATGGAAATGACTTCAGCCAGACTACCATCTCTCGCTTTGAAGCCTTGAACCTCAGCTTTAAGAACATGTGCAAATTAAAACCACTTTTAGAGAAGTGGCTAAATGATGCAGGTGAGTGAGTTCATAAGAAATTGCTTTATTGGAATTTTTTCTGGAATTTTACAGGGGGAATTTTGTGTGAACTGAGGTTTCTATTATTGTTAATGCTATAGAATGTTGGAGCTTACTACTCTTTGGAGAGTCATTATAAAGTATGGCTATGTAAATCAGAAAGCTATTCCATTTTAATATTCCACTAATTACAGTTTAAATAACCAGCAATAATTTTTAACCTTGGAATTTTTTTTTTTTAATTTGAGCCAGGATTAAAGACACACAGTTGAGGAAGAAGATAGGAAGGGCTATGTGTTTAGATAATCTTGAAAAACAAGTATATTATTTCTTCCTTGATAGATTATCATAGTTCCTGGTCATAGTTCTGCTTTAAACACAAATGGTCATGTATTTCATTTACAAAGTTGGGCTTCTGGTCTTAAATGATCTATTTTATGTAAAGATATCCTTTTGGAAATTTTTAATTTTGAGCCACTGAATCATGGACTATGAGAGCTAAAAGAAACCACCAAGATGCCTAATCATAGTTCTCATTGTAGATGTGAGCAAAAATTAGGCCTTTGGAAAAGCAGAACTTGAAACAACACTGGGCAGATTGATCCAGTAGCTGAGAGTAAGGCCTGGCCTTCTGCTGTCTTTCTGAATTCCACAGGCAACAACCACTGATCTATTCCATTTCATTTTAAATACAGTAGAAAAAAAAAATCCAGAGTGTATAACAGACCAGGATTATTAAGCTCTTTTTTACTGTTTTATTTATTTTTATTTTATGTGCATGAGTGTAATGCCTGCATATAGGTAGGTGCACCCATGTCGTGTAGTGCCTGCAGAGGTCAGAAGAGGGCGTCAGATCCCCTGGAACTGGAGTTACAGACAGTTGTTAACCACCATGTGGGTGCTGGGAATCAAACCTGGGTCCTCTGCAAGAACAGCCAGTGCTCTTAACCACCGAGCCACCTCTAGCCCAAAGCTCTTAAGTAAAAGAATGCTGTTTTAACTTTAAGAGAAATCATTTCTAAGATAAATATTAAATATTCAATAATTTTCAAGAAACTTTCTTCCTTTAATCCCCAGAGCTCATATACAAACAAAAGAACAGACCTAAGAGAGAGGTCTCAGTGTTGGAATCAAACGTTTGTGTTCTCAGATGGTAGTGACATAGGATCCAATAAGGACATAGAAGATCCATGTAGTGAACGATGTTTTAATGTAGGTTATATTAAAAACCTCCCCACACTAACACAGAGCATAAAATGTTTTGTCAGTTGTACAATTCGTGCTAATAGAGGTATTATGTATGTGAAGGATATGCTCAGCTATTTTCTTCCCTGCATTTTCTTTACTCTTACAGAGAACCTCTCATCTGATTCTACAGCATCTAGCCCAAGTGCCCTGAATTCTCCAGGGTTGGGAGCTGAGGGCTTGAATCGTAGGAGGAAGAAACGCACCAGCATAGAGACCAACATTCGTGTGGCCTTAGAGAAGAGTTTTGTGGAGGTCAGTGAGATGTTTACTTTTCGTATGCATCAAATTGTCTCAAACTATTACTAGGAATTGTATAGATGTTAAGACATGACCTTGCTTTCCTCCACCTTGGGCATTTTCATACGGAAAAGTAAGACAGTAAAGTACTGACAGAAGAGAGAACCAGAGTGCAACAGTGCTCAAGAGAGACCTTGGTTCTAGCCATATGTGCATTTGATTGGAAACATAGGAATTAATCCTACAGACTGGAAAGGTGAGAGAAAGGCACCTCAAGCAGAATGGTTTCTTAAGCAGAGACCCCCAGAGGAAAACTGCTATACCAGAAGGAATACCAGTAATTTAGTTGACTAAAGTGTAATGTCTTTATGCTTAGAATGGTAGCTTGGGGCCAGAATATTAGACACCTTAAATTTCAGGTTGTGGAGTTCAAACTAATTCAACAGATATTTGGCTTTTTTAAAAAAACATAAAAGATCACACATACTGGGGCTAGAGAGATGGCTCAGCGGTTAAGAGCACTGACTGCTCTTGCAGAGGACGTGGGTTCAATTCCCAGCACCCACATGGCGGCTACAAACCGTCCTTAACTCCAGTTCCCAGGGAATCCAAAGCCCTCTTCTGACCTCCCCGGCATTGCACGACACGGGTGCACTCACATACATGAAGACAATACACTCATACACATAGAATTAATACACATAGAATAATAAATTAAAAAAAGGGGGCTAGAGAGATGGCTCAGCGGTTAGGAGCACTGGTTGTTCTTGCAGAAGACCCGGGTTTGAATCCCAGCACCCACATTGTCTTTCACAGGCATTGCACGACATTGGGTGCACTTACCTACCCGCAGGCAATACATGCATACACATAAAATAAAAATAGTAAATAAAATATTTTTTTTTAAAAAGATCACACAAAGCTTCCAACAAAAATTTGGCTTTTCTAATTCAGAACAAGTTCCCTTTTCTTAAGGAGTCTCTCACCTTTGCCCCTAATTAAGGGTGTGGTGGGGAAAGTCACTTGATCTCAGGAGGAAGTTTCTGCATCTATAATAATCACCTCCCTTTCCTGCTTCACAGGCATAGTATGAGGTCCAAATTAGATGGTATGCATAAAGCACAGAGAAAATTCATACATTCCTATTAACATGTAAGCTTGTATTGGTGCTTTGTTAACTTTTGTAGACCTTTAAAATGAAAAAAATATGTAAGAATTGCTTTCCTCTGTTGATATGTTTAGTTAATGTACTTGTTTTAGTCACTTTTCTTTTGCTGTGATAGAAACACTGACCAAAGCAACTTATAGAAGGAAAAATTTATTTGAGTTTACAGTTCCAGGGGAATTGCAGTCTGTCCTGGTGGGGAGGCATGATGGCAGAGGTGCCTGAAGGAATGGAAGCTAGGCTCCACTTCTTCCAGCAGGCATAGCAAACAAGAGAGCAACTGGAGATCTGGCAAGACTTAAGAACTCTCTAAGCCCGCCCCCAGTGGCATGCTTCCTCCAGTATGGCCACACCTTCTAAGACCTCCCAAAACAGCACCACCAACTGGGGACAAAATGTCCAAATACTTAGAACCTATGGGGGACATTTTCATTCACATCACCCACAGTACTATTGTAAGAACATCTTTCTGTAGGAGCTGTTTGTTAAAAGTAACTTAATATGGTCACATATATTCCAGCTTCATGTTTTGATGGGCTTCGTCCTATGGATACAAGAATTCAAAAAGTTATTTCAGGGTTGGGCTAGTTCAGAGGTAGAACACGTGTATATGCACAAGGCACTAGGTTCAATCTCCAGCACTGCAAAAATACATAATTAAATTACAAAAATTCCAAAAGATGGCCTTTTTTACCTCCTTCAGAATCAAAAGCCTACCTCGGAAGAGATCACCTTGATTGCTGAACAGCTCAATATGGAAAAGGAGGTGATTCGTGTTTGGTTTTGTAACCGCCGCCAGAAGGAGAAAAGAATCAACCCACCAAGCAGTGGTGGGACCAGCAGCTCACCTATCAAAGCAATTTTCCCCAGTCCAACCTCACTGGTAAGAATGGGTATAGAAGGGGTAAGCTCAAGGGCTAATTTTTACAGTTTTACAAATGGCCTCTTGTCAATTCATGTAACAGTTAAAGAGTTTATCCTGGGGGCCAGGGGGAGGTGGGGACTTATGTTGAATAAATATATGTAAATTTCTACTTTAGATATTTCCAAAGTAATGAAATCTCATGTTGTGAGCCCTCCAAGAACTACTGATCTTCTTTATATTTTAAAGTAAACCACTTTAATTCTTCCTGTTTGCTTTTTCATTATTCTCTGGTGTAATTAGATTACTCTGTAACTAGAGTGGTAAATTTGCTGCTGATTCTAATTATCTGAAAAAACATTAAGTTACTTCTTTCTTCATGGTTGGTCCTAAAGCCCATTTTATTAAACTTATTTGATTAGGGGACAGTAAATTTCCAGGCACAGAACACAGCCCTTTCATTTTCATTCTTAGGTAGCAGGTAGGCCTTCCTGTAGAGCCTTACTGGATTACTTATGCTGTTTTCAGTAGAATACTGTTCCTGGGTAAAAGAGACATGCCATGGTCCATGTGACTACCATGATTCCAACCAGGTTTCAAAAGATGGAAAGATTATAGCGCCTATATTTCTATTCCTTTTGTAGTTCATGATTTTTTTTTTATTTTACTTGAACATCATTTCATGCTTCAAGACTTTTTAAACTAAAGTCAGCATTAAAAGCACATATTTACCTGGTGTGGCAGTGCTCATCTTAAATCCAAGCACTTGGGTGGCAGAGGCAGGAGGATCTCTGAGATCGAGGCCAGCCTTGTCTACATAGTGAGTTCCAGGCCTTGTCTCAAAAAAAAAAAAAAAAAAAAAACAGAAAAGCAATATTTATCAAATGAAGGCTACAGGTTATTAAATGATGAGGCTTTAAATTCTAGAGATCATGAGATGGTAGTTATAAAAAATCTTTAGATAACTGCTTTGTTTTTTTTGGGTGACTGGTTTGTGTTTCAGATTTAGCTGTCATAGAAAGAAGGGAATACTTTTTACAGCACTGTAGAATTTTTTTTTACATTTCTAAAAGAAACTTGGTTTTTTAAAAATGTGCTTGACTCAAGGTAAGTGTGGTGGCACAATCCTTTAATCCCAGCACTTAGGAGGCAGAAGCAGGAGGATGACTGTGAGTTCCAGGCCAACCTGGAATCTGCAGTGAGGGCCTCTCTTAAAAATCGTTACAGTTGGGGCTGGAGAGATGGCTCAGTGGTTTAAGAACACTGGTTGTTCTTACAGAAGACCTGGGTTCAAATCCCAGCATCCACATGGCAGCTAACAACTGTCCATAACTCCAGTAACTCCAGTCCCAGGGGATCCGACAGCCTCTTCTGATCTCTGTGGGCATTGCACGACACGGGTGCACTTACCTACATGCAGACTATACACACATACACATAAAATTTTTAAAAATCTTCACAGTCTTTCTACATCATTTCATTAAAAACAAAGACATGGGGATCTTGCTTCCACAGAATCAGAAGTAAAAGTAATACAAGCACTAATCTGTCAGTTTCTTGTTTAGGTAGTGCTGATGATAATTACTACACCATTTCTTACTGACTTAGAATATATCTGATTGCAACATTATTAAAATTAAAGGATGTTTCAAGTTTTGATTGTTTTGTGCATTTTTTAAAAATTTCTGACCTCTAGGTGGCAACCACACCAAGCCTTGTGACAAACAGTACAGCAACTACCCTCACAGTCAACCCTGTCCTTCCCTTAACCAGCGCTGCGGTGTCTAATCTCTCTCTTACAGGTAAGCAGCAGCCAAGCCACAAGGCTATTAAGCACATGGCCAGCCCATGTTAGGTTTTTGTGAGAACCAGCTCTTAAATCATGAAGGCTCTACTTCAGGATACAAATTGGAGGTTTGGTTTGGGGATGTTTTTGGTTTTGGTTTTTTTACTTTCTTGTTTGGTTGGTTGGTTTGGAGTTTTTTGAGAAAGGGTCTCCCTATAGTTCCCAGCTTGCCTTGAATTCATAGACATCCACTTGCCTTTGTGTCCTGAGTGCTAGGATTAAAAGCTTGGGCTGTCACACCCAGTCATATATGTAAGGGCTCAGGGAGATGGCTCAGTGGGATAGAGTGCTTACCACATAAGTATGAAGACTGAAGTTCAGATCCGCAGTACCTATTTCAAGCTGGGTGAATGTGGTAGCCCACCTGTAGTCCCACTGCTGAGGAGGCAGAGAAAGGGGATCTCCAGAACAAGATAGCTAGCCATACTAGCGAAATTGTCAAACTGCCAGTTCAGCAAGAGACCCTACCTCAATAAAGAGTGATCAGGGAAGGCACTCAACTAAGTTTCTGCCCTTAAGGAGCTTAGTGTCTGACTACCCAATCATCTGGATATTAGAAGCTGAACTTTACCTTCCCAGTGAATTATAAATCATATTATATTAGACTTAAAGATACTCATTTTTTGCAGAAATTTTTCTAATGGTTCAGACATTAAAAATAAGCAAAAGCCAGGACCAGTGGCACATACCTATGGTCCCAGCTGCTCTGCCAGTGAAGGTGAGGCTTTTCCCTCATACTTTGCCAAAGCAAGGATTATGTTTGGTTGTGCATACCAGTACCTACACCAGAATCTTTAACTTTTCATAGTCAGATTTTTTTTTTTAGTTTTTAGATATTTATAGTAGTTGAGAACATTTATTCAGCTCATATGCAAGGTCTGGTAGGGGAGGGAAAAGCCCACTGCCAGAGCTAGTATATGAACAGTCCTATAATCACCCTGTTTTCTGACCCTGTTTCCTATTCCTGCCTTGGTATAAAGCAACTCTTGAGTTTGAACTTTTTCTCGTCTCTCCAACAAAGGGAATAATTCCCACCTCAATTATACCCTTCTCCTTTGCCATCTAGACTGTGATTGGTTTCTCCACTATCCTATTTTGTCCTTTCTCATTTCTACAAATCTGTCTAAATTTCATATCTGATTCCCTCCTCCCCTCCCCCCATCACACACAACTCTTATTACACCTGTTTTATTTGGAATAGGCTTTAGAACTGAAAGGAGAAAATAACTTCTTCACTTTACCATTTTCTAAGAACAATCTTGCTTAATCAACATGATTGTCCTCATTTCCCTGTGTGCTTGGCACACAGAAGGCCCTTGGTGAACATTGCTAGAATAGAATGATCGTGACAGTACTCAGAAAGATGTGTTCTCAAATATCTCTCAGAGGCAACTAATATGCTGTCTCCAACTTATTTTCTAAGTTATGTTTCATAATGACAAGAACTTATTTCTCAGGAAAATACAGCAATTTTCATTAGTTACCTAACAGTGGAGGCCCAAGAAACAGGAAGGAAAAATGAACAGAATTAAAAGAAGAAATAGACAATCCAATGACAGCTAGAAACTTTTTTTTTTTTTTTTTTTTTTTTTGTTTTTTTTGGTTTTTGAGACAGCGTCTCCCTGTAGCCCCAGCTGTCCTAGATCTCACAGAGATCCGCCTGCCTCTGCCTCCTGAGTGCTGGGATTAAAGGCATGCACCACCATGCCAGAAACTATCCATTTTTAATGATTAGTTTGAATTATATCCAAAAAAAGTTGTCAAAGACATAGAAGACTTGAGCAGTAACAACCAGCTGGACTTCATTGTCTTGCCTCTGCAAGTATACTTGGAATGTCCATCCTTTGGGATGTTTTCAGTCAGGGAACAAGGCTCAGTAAATTTAAGGATTAAAATTATACAAGGTTTATTGTCTTCTTAGAAATTGACAACAGAAAGAAATTTAGGGCGTCCACAAATATTGGAATTAAACTAGCATGTACCCAAGGGTCAGTGAATTTAAAGGATTAAAATCATATAAAGTATATTGTCTTTAGAAATCAACAACAGTTATTTTGGGGATCCCCAACTATTTGGAAATTAACTAGCATGTGTGCCTAAGAAGAACACACAAGGAAAATTAGGAAAACTCTGAAGGAGGGGGGTGGGGGAGAAGCATCTCAGAAGCCAGTTGTGGCACACAGCTATGCTCCCACACTGTTGGGGAGGAGGGAGGCAGGAGTTGTGTCATCCTCAGCGAAAACAGCAGCAACAAAGGAAAGGGAGGGTGGGACATGGTGATGCATGCCTTTAATTCCTACACTTGGTAGGAGGGTAGTGAATTCAAAGCTAACCTGGGCTATAGTGTAAGACCCTGTCTTGAAAAAGTAAAATCATATATAAACACACACACACACACACACACACACA